TGGCGCGCGACTACAATGGCGCCTTGGCGGTCTTCACGCGCATGCAGCGCCTGGCGCAGGAGCACGGCAGCCACCCGGTGCAGCCCCAGCCGCCGCCCCTCCCGCTGCAGCCACAGTCGCATCCACCGCTGCAGCCGCCGCAGCTAGGGCCCCAGCTCCTACCCGGCGGGGCCCCACCCCCGCCCCCTGCACAAAGCCCTCCGAATACAAGTTTCGCGACCGCGACCTCTGGTGCCTTGCTAGGCGCCTTCTGGGAGGTGGTGGTCCGCTGTGAGGTGTCCCGCGTGCTGCTGCTGCTGCTCCTGCAACCACCGCCCGCCAAGCTCCTCCGGGAGCAGGAACATGCTCACACTTTGGAGAAGTACTCCTGGGAGGCTTTTGACAGCCACGGGCAGGAGACCAGCGGCCAGCTTCCCGAAGAGCTCTTCCTGCTGCTCCAGTCCTTGGTCATGGCTACCCATGAAAAGGACACGGAGGCCGTCAAATCGCTGCAGGTGGAGATGTGGCCACTGCTGAGTGCTGAGCAGAACCACCTCCTTCACCTCGTTCTGCAAGAAATCATCTCCCCCTCAGGACAGGGGATCTGATTAATCCCGTTAACCAAGTGACTGCCTGTTGCCAAACCCATGCATCCACCTTTGCTTTTGAAGGGAAATAAAAAAACATTGATCCCAGTGGTTCTACCTTTGTTTAGCTTATTCCTCTTGCCACCACAGGAATTTAGTTGACTGAAAATTACCTGTATCCCAAAGACTTATTTTCATAATAGTGGAAGAAAAAAATAATATGATAGAAACAGAGTAGAGAACATAGCTCTCTTCCCCAAAACTGCAACATAAAAATGAGAATCCTTTTATCCCTTTTCTCTTCCACTCAGGTCACCTCACCCCACACCCCAATCTTCATTTCATTGTCAGGATTTTGTTTTGCACTGGTGTCTAAATACTTATGCTATGTGATTTTTCTTCATTGTGACTAATTTCTTAGCGTATTTCTATATCTAACTATGTGATCACCCAATTTCTCTTGTTTTGTCTACCCAATACGTATTCATGGGAACCATTGGATTCCATACATCATTGTTGCTACAGCTCTAAATCCATGATAAAGCCATTCCACTCATCCTGACTTCTGGTTTAGATTTACTTCATCTATAAAATGGGAATAACTTATCTAGTTGTCAGGCCACAGAAAGCAGAAACAGTTCTCTTTCAGTTCCAAGATGTATTCGTTCATTTGAAATTGACAGTGTACTTAGTATGCGACTATGCATGACAATGAGTCTACAGAGATCATTTACTTAGCTGCAATGAAGATGTGTGTGAGGCGCAGTGTCAGCTGGGGGGGGGGTTGGAGCAGCGTTGCACAACGCAAATGTGTCAGGCGTGCATTGGAATTCACATGTACAGTTCTATTCTGAGAGGCACCTGTAATCCACATGACCTCTTTTATTTGTAGTAGGGATCTTTCTACAACTTTTACTTGACTATGTAAAATCAGCATGGTTCTTTGGTGTTGTATGATCATGTATATGACCAAACGCATGATGGAGTTCCATTTAAAAATACTAAATTTTCAAGATTTTTTGGTTCAAATGTTACATGCAAACCATTTTATCTTTTTTTAAATTCAATTTTATTTTCTTTACAGTTTCAAGAGTAATAATAGGAACTCTTTAGAGTATAATCTCATTCTCAATCATTCAGCTTTAGGAAAATGCATCCTTTAGGCTGAAGTTGTATACTGTACTAATCTTTTGGGGTGAGATTTAAGGACACAGTTTAGGGGTAGATTTTTATTTTGAACTTTTGGGGCTATGTGGACAGTTATCACTATGAGTTTGCCTCAAAATGGGTGGGACTTTGGGGGTATTGTTTTATATTTGTATTTCAACAGTGTGGAAGCCATAGGTAAGGAATGACAGGATACACTTATTTGAGACAGATTGAGCCACTATTCCTGTGCTCACACTTGGCTGCCAGGAAGGGTCCTTTGGAGCCTGAAAAACCTAGTCCAATTTATTGAAAAATGTGGTAAGGGTGCATGCTTCTTTGTGCTTTTGCTTTTTATGGTATACTCCTCTCAACCTGGGCTGCAGGCCTGGCCAACTGCTTTACTGTCATATGACAGGAAGGCTTAGGAGTTATGTAATGTGACTGGTGATAGTATTTGGATTTGAGCTTAAGAAATATTCCCCTTATGCCTCTGGTCCAAACTCCTTGCATTGAGGAGGTGGGGGGAGGAATTACCAGAGGGCTTGGTATTGGGTATGTAAGCAGTGTTGATCGAAGTTCTCCAGAGAAACAAAACAAACGGAATCTCTCTCTCTCTCTCTCTCATATTTCTATCTCTATCTCCACATATATACACATATACACTATATATGTGTATGTATATGTGTATATATATGTGTATGTGTGTGTGCATACATATATATATGTATATATATACATATACATACACACACACACACACACACACACACACACACACACACACATATATATATATATATATATATATATATATATATATATATGTATAATCTATCTATCTTTCCAAGCTCATGTGATTGGAAGCTTGGAAAGTCCAAAATCTGCAGGGTAGGCCAGCAAGCTAGAGACCCAGAAAAGAGTTGCAGTTGGAGTGCAGAGGTACTTGCAGGCCAAATTTCCAATCCTTCCAAGGAGGTAATTTTCTATTAAGGCTTTTACTTGATTTGATGAGACCCACAGACATTTGGAGGGTAATCTGCTTTACTCAAAGTCCACTGATTTAAATGTTGATCTCAACTAAAAAATACCCTCACTGAAATGTCTAGAATAATATTAAACCAAATATCTGGGATTGTGGCCTAGCCAAGTTGACACATAAAAGTAATCATCACAAGTACACCCCTTATCAACTTGAGACCCAGACACATCTCCTTAAAACATACTTAAACTCCTAAAAAGGAATATAATGAGGTCCTACTTTCACCTAACATGATACAACTAGCCTGTGGACAATTGAAAATGCAATAACCCTTTCTCCAGTGCAAGATTTAAAGTCCTTAGGTAATGCTTACTCTTCTCAATATCCAGAAACTTGGCAAATACTATGATGTAAAGTAAACAATACTGAAATACTATGATATAAAATCAATACTCCTTATGTGACAGGAGGATAAGAGAAGGAAAAAAACATTTTATACAAACAAACACATTCACAAATACTGATAACAAAAAAAAGAAGAAATACTGGTAATAATTACATTCCTTATTTCTGTAATTGGTGACATAGTCATAGCTGATATTCATAATTACCTTCTTTCACTATCTGTTCTGTATTCCATTTCATCTCAGCAAGCACCTCAGCTGGTTGTGGTTTTTTAGCTCGTGGGGTGACCCAAACTGCATTCTTCAAGGGTATGGGACATTACTATAATAGTCCTGCCTGCTCACCCAATAGAATTTTCACTGATACATCTCCAGGGCGAAAGAAAAAAAAGAAAAAATAAACAAATGGGATTACATCAAACTAAAAAGCTTCTGCACAGCAAAAGAAAACAGCCTCAAAATACAAAGGAACCCCACAGTATGGGAGAACATATTTGCCAAGGATGCATCTGATAAGGGGCTGATTTTCAAAGTTTACAAAAGACTCATACAATGCAACAAGAGGAAGACAAACAATCCAATTAAAAATTGGACAAAGGACCTGAATAGACACTTTTCCAAAGAGGACATACAGATAGCCAAGAGACATATGAAAAAAT